AAAAAAAGAAAAAAAGGAAAAAAAAGAAGAAAAAAAGGAAAAAAAAAAAAAAAGGAAAAAAGGAAAAAAGAAAAAGAAAGAAAGAAAGAAAGAAAAAAGAAACTGTTACCCGAGAAATTAATATAGATAGTGAACACTTTCAAAAAGCTCCAATATCCTTATTATATCATCTACAATGCTAAGAGAATGGCAGAGACCATATACAATTGCAAAAATGATAATGACATTAACAATAAAATCAATAAAAAACACAGATATAATATTATCTACCCATAACTATTTATCCAAATATCATTGGAATTGTTTCACCCCAAGCAAGGTGGGAATGCCACTAGTGTGTAGGGGGGTTACAGAGTGTGAAAGAGAAGACTGAGAATAAGGAGGATTGAGGAAAGGACAAAAGATGAATGGGATTCAAGAAGACAGATGATGGCGATTGATATTGTATTTAAATTTTTGAAGATTGTAGTTATCGAGGAAGCAAGAGAAACAGAAGGGAATTCCACAGGTGAGAAAAGAAACTGTTGCAGAAGTTGTGGTTGCATTTTAGCTATTTCAACAGTAAAAGGGTGGGACCTAGATGCCAGTCTAGTAGCATGATTAAATTTACATCTATTTATTTGTTCCGTTCTATATCTATGATTGAATGATCCCAGAAAGAGATCCTAATCCTGCCGGTAACCCCCTCCCTGCAAACTCACTATTCGTCTCCTCTATGGAAGTCTCTGCTCAATTCCAGAGTGCAAGAAAAGTGAAGAATATCTTTGGAAATATCTGTGATGATGAGTAATGGAGGCTGGTTGTTGAATGTAACCAGAGAGAAAGAAGTGAGGGAGGAGGGTTACTAAGAGCCTGGACAATCTGACCCATTGATCCAGTTCTTGAACCCCCTATCCAAAACAGGAAAGAGATTAGTATTATAAAAAAAAAAAAAAAACTTTCAATTTAAGATTAGCAAAAAGTGTCAGTGTCATATATATATATATATATATATATATATATATATATATATATATAAAAAAGAAAAGTTTCTGTTTCACTCTTTGGTGTCAGCCCATCCTGGCTTAGCAAAAAAAAAAAAAAAAAAAAAAAAAAAAAAAAAACAATATTAAAATAACATAATAATTATGAATACGAAGAGCAAGGCCTCTGATCAAAAGATTGGAGGTTTTGAGGAGCTTGGAACCACCTCTTAATTGCTGTTCCCAGGTCTATCCTGGGGTGGTAGCAGCTGTTAGGGTCCCAGCTAAGGACAAATAGTGAACCCTTAAACAAAACACTATGAAAGTATAAAAATACATTTATAGTAAAATGACGAACAATACATTTTTATAGTAAAATGACGAACAATACATTTTTATAGTAAAATGACCAACAATACATTTTTATAGTAAAATGACCAACAATACATTTTTATAGTAAAATGACCAACAATACATTTTATAGTAAAATGACCAACAATACATTTTTATAGTAAAATGACCAACAATACATTTTTATAGTAAAATGACCAACAATACATTTTTATAGTAAAATGACCAACAATACATTTTTATAGTAAAATGACCAACAATACATTTCATCTGTATTTGCAGCATACAATTGTGTTCAAAATATATTTAGCCAAAGCTATAAAATTAGTCAAATTATTTAGACTTCGGCATTAAATGACCCATATAGGTGTTGATATGCTGCTAACCAAAACTTGGCCAGGTGGTGCTAAAACAAAAACAACAAGAGTAGCAGCAGCAGACTGTATGGCCATTTCACTGGATTTCCAGAAATATGCCAGGTCAAAAACTTTTCAGCACTTTCTCCTACTATTATAAAAAGGCAAGTAAGGCAAGGAAGATCAAGAAAACAAATAAGGAGAAAGTTAAGGCAAAAACAAAAAGAAAAAAGTATGGATGCACAAACTTTAAATCATGCAAGCCTTCAATAATCTTACTCCCAACAATTTTTTTTTTGTTTACTAATATTCTTAAGATAAGGCGGCAAAATTTTTATTCTAGCTCCCTGGTGTCTGCCATTAAAAAAAAACAACAAAAAAACTCGTCAATGCTTAATGCCATCTATTTTTTTTATTTTTTATTTTAAAAGAGATCAATTCTTTCAAAACTTAAATTCATTTAAGTTTTAAAAAGGAACAAATATCAAAATCATTGAAAAGCCAACATTCTTTTTTGCTTTGTTTTTTCATCTTATCTTAAATTCATACCATATTTCTATCATAGATGTGCACTACAACAGAATACATGAAAGAACAAAAATGAGGCCCCCTAAGACCCTTAGACCACAACATATTCTCTGTTAAGAAAAAAAACTAAAGGCATGAGACCAACTTACTTTACTGAGTTTTTCACCGGCATGATGAGGAAGAAGTGTTTTGAGGGATTGAAAGCCGGCATTGATACTTTGCATGCGCCGACGTTCGTTGCTGTTTGCAATTTCTCTCCGGATTTTCTTCTCTTGTTCCAACTGAGCTTTCGGGGACAGAGGACGCGGCCTACCAAAGAAAAACAACAAATTATCTATTAAAACACACACAGTAATACAGGATTTTAAAATGCAAAATAAACCAAGTTGAATTCCGTTTTGAATTATGTGAATAAAACACCAGAGAAAATCCCACTCAAATATTTTTGTTATAGAAATAGAATAAGGGAGCCATTCAAATTCTGACCGAGTGTGGCAGTCATTTTCTGCACTAATGCCTTTGGAAACGACAGCAATCCATTTCTGCTCTCCCAACTTGGCTACAGGTTAAATAGCAGGGAAGACTGAACCATCTAGCCTTGAATTGCTGTCAGGCTAAGAGATGTGCAATTCTGAATTCATAACATTGGTAATGAGGAACCATTCTACTATCTTTCCCAAGATGTCATGGCAATTCCCAGAGAGAGAGAGAGTGAGAGAGAGAGAGAGAGAGAGAGAGAGAGACACACACACACAGGGTAAAAAATGCAAATCCCTAATCTTGTGTGTGTGTGTGTGTGGGGGTGTTAAATGAATCATCACCATCAAAATTTCTGGTTCCAGTTACAAATCTTGCAAATTGTAGAGGAGAGATCTCAAAAGCTAAGCCCATGTCAGTTACATATTTAATAACCGCCACCCACCGCCTCTTCAATTTCTTTATCCATTCAACACAGATTACTGTCAGAGAGTTAAGTAACTCACACTTATGTCTAATGAAAGTGAGTGAGGGTAGAATCCCAAGTCAAGAAGTGGGAAACAATAAAAAATTAGAAAAACGTTTGGTTTTTAGACCCAAATGTAACCATCCTTTTTAAGGAGTCTATTTTTCTGTCTTTAATAAAGCTCTGGTAAGAGAGGAACCCATTAAACTTTCTTTTTCGAACATACCTCTTTAGAGTAGCTATTCATTTTTCTTTAATTCTTTCTTATTGCAATTAAATTTTGAATGCCACATTATTACATTATTATATATATATATATATATATATATATATATATATATATATATATATATATATATCCTGTTCTAATATTATTTTTAATATTTTATATTAAAAAGTAATCTTAATGCTTGAGAGGGAAAAAACAAAACAACTGATTTTTGATGGCTTATTTAAAGCCAGAAAATATTTTTAGAGTAAGATTTTTTTTTTTTTTTGGTCTTATTTTTATTATTTTAAGATAATGATTTAGTGATACAAGTCTTACTAATTAAATTATAGAGGGGGAGGATTTTGTGTGTGTGTGTGTGTGTGTGCGTGGAGGGGCTCATACTTTTCCCCAAGGGTATTTGCAGACAAGTGAATATAATGAATCCAACTGGAATTAGAATTTAGCTTTCCGATTAACAATTCAGAGCCACGATCCCAAGCAGTGCCATCCCTCCATCTAGGTATTTAGCAGTGAGGTTTAATATTTGTATGATTTTCTAATGGAGGGGAATCCCTAATCAAGATAAATTACATTTGGCACATGAAAAGTCATAGTTTTTTTTTATGCATGGGCAAATACAGGGTGCGGCAGAAATATCCCCCACCCCCAAGACATTAGCGAGACGAAGATATAATTGACACAAATGTCTTATCATAATGGGGGAGATATTTCTGACGCTCAGTGTTGTAGTTAATTTAGAATTATTTAAATTTTCAGTTTATTTCAAGAACTCAATATAAACAAATTTTTAAAATTATTTCTGCAAAACTAGAAAAGCAAGCATTGGACAAGGTTTTTTTTTTAAAAATTAATTGTGGGACTGGATTTTATATTAGTTAAAGAAAAATAATAAAAAAGGTCTTACATAGAGAAATGTATTTTGCAGGAAAGAATTAACGAGTACAAACCATTAAATTTAAAACTGGGTTCTTTACAAAAAAAAAAAAAAAAAAAAAAAAAAAATTATTGTTCAAAGTTGGGAGGTCTCCATAGAGAAGCTTTTATTTTATTTACTGTTTTTATGAGAAAATATTTCACACTTTCCAGTGATAAAAACTGCACACACACACACACACAAGGGGTGGATTAGACAGGTGACAAGAAAAAAAGAAAAAAAAAAAAAAGTGGGGGGGCTAGGGATTTTATATAATTAAGGGAGGTGCCCATGAGCAGGTGCCAGCAGATGGGAATTGTCCTCTTGATTAAGGATTGGTCAAAATAGGGGACAGAAGGTTTAACCAAGCGAAACAGGATATGAGACCCATTTTCTCATCGGAGAGAACATTGTGGTGTACCTGCTGGCTTGTCCAAGTAGTTAAAGCAATGGAACGTAAGTTGAGGACAAACAGGAGACCTGGAACATTGGCAAAAAACTATGCACACCTTTCATGTAATACAATCCTGTCTTTTGTACCACCATTTTGTTTGAGAGTCGAAAGCTCATTTGCTTTTATCTATTATATCAAGTGTGATTCAGTGGTATGTCAGCAGACTGGCAACAAAGAAATCAGAGGTTTTAGTTTAAGCAAAAAACAAGTACCACTCACAACCACCGCCACAAAAAACAATTACTTTCGAATATTCAGGCTTACAGCCACATCATGTTGAAGCACCAGTTTCCATATGATCACTGAAGTTAAGCAATGTCTAGTCTGGTCAGTACCTAGATGGGTGACCACTTGGATGTACAGGTGGTGTCACAGATAATGGCTTAGAATTGTTAATCGGAGAGCAGAATTTCAATTCCAGTTTGGTTTCACTCACGAATGTGAAAGGTATGAATCCATCTCCCATCTATGAGTTAATTCATTTGACATGATGTGGCTATAAGCCTACTAATTTGTTTTTCATTTTTACAAGTGACTATTGCATAACAATTGTTCTTGGAGAGAACAATTTTCCCAGTGACAAGTCCTACTATTTAGCAGTGGAAGAGACAGATTCATATGTCACCCAAGGCTATTTGTGTGTAAGTGAATGTAATGAATCGGGTCCAGAGGACACAAAAATGAGGGACCTTTTTCATATCTGGAAATCTCCCAAGAAGTCATTATTATGAAAAGCTAGAGAAAAGTGATGGGCAACAGTGTGGTCAGTTGGCCATTCATTTAAAGTTTTGAAAATTGTTTGGTCGGATCTAAAAGAATATTTGATGCAGAAGAAAATTGAAAACTATCAAGTAATCAGTAGAAAAAAAAAAGAAAAAAGACAAACATTGACAGAGAGAGAGAGAAGAGAGAGAGAGAGAAAAGGAGGGGTTAGTCATTTTCAAAAGAGTTTATTAGTTCAATATGTCAGCTCTTCTTTTACAAAAGAATTCTTTCATTTTGGTAGGGTTAGGTTGGTTGATTTTATTACATAACCCTTGTTAGCTTACTTAATGTAAAAAAAAAAAAAAAAAAAAAAAAAAAAAAAAAAAAAAAAAAAAAGAAGAGAGAGAGAGAAAAGAAAAGAATGAAGAGTCAATGGTCTAGTAGATAAAAGTGTTGGTTGATTGTTCCAAAAAGTGACTTGGTCCAAAGAGGTGTGAGTTCAGTCTCTGGCCTCAGTGGAGAAAACAAAAACTTGGGGACTTATCAAAGTGAATTAACTGAAAACTAAGACACCCCCACCCCCAAAAGCATGGTATGTGGAACTAGAACAATTGAAGCCCCTACAAATATCTCCTGAAGATGGCTGGAGCATACAATGGCCAAAATGTTGTGAATGTGGCAATAAAGATGAGGAAAACAGCCCGAACAATGTAAATAGCATTAATTCTTAGACAACAGGTAAATTGAAAATCGTCATTAGACAAAATGAGGAGACATATATATATTTTCGTTAATTTTACGTATACTTGATGAGGTCCGCCAAAAACGTGTGAATTTCTTTTCATTTTTCATTTCAGCTTTTGGAAGTAAAGTCTGATGATCCAGAACCCTGTTAAAGGGGTTATGGTGAAATAGCTTATTACATGGAATCTTAACGTGGTCTGTTTTTTATTCAAACATATCTGCTCTGAATTTTACATTGAGCTCTCTGGATATCATCCTCCTCGGGTCTACCCATACGAACTACCTAAGTTTGCATAAACTATATATATATATATATATATATATATATATATATATATATATATATATATATATATATATATTACACACACACAGAGCCAATAATGGGAAAATTATTTTAAGCAATGTTGATCCTGGTCAATATGTAAATGGGTGACTAGGTACTGTCAGCTTGAATGTGTGGGTGATATAATGGATAATGGCTCGGAATTGTTAATTGGAGAACAGAGTTCTGATTCCAAATACAAATACCCTCAAGGAATATGAATCCACGACTTCTCCACTTCCTTAGCTATGGCTTGATTAGTAGGACCTCTACTAATCAGTAAATTATTATCCCTCCCAAATTACTCCAATCTAAAAATATTTTCTGGATTTAAATAACCTGCAAAAGGTTGATAACCTGTAACGGCAAAAAAAAGAAAAATATTTTAACATGAAAGAGTAAGCTCCTTCAACTGACACATTGAAAATGATTCAAGATGCAACGTGTGTGTGTATATATATATATATATATATATATATATATATATATATATATATATATATATATATATATATATATACATATACACACACACACATACATACATACATACATAAGGACAGGTGTTTTAATTTTAGGAATAGCAAATCCTGCATAAGAAAATTTACTTTCAGATTTTTGTTTGTTTTTTTAACCGCAAATTGAAATCTAGATCAGAATCAGAAATTATTTTTCTTTTATAACTAACCGTGAATGAACCAGTGTCTTGATTGTTAAAGTGTGTTCATTTTGGTGGGTTGTTTTTAGCAGTATATCAACACCTCTATGGGTTATTTAATGCCAAAAGCTAAATATTTTGTATGCAAGAGTATTTTTTATTTTTTGGGAGAGAATGGTTTTTGTGATACAAGTGTTACCCATAGCTAGGAGAGAGGAGGTACATCCACACCTCTCCCAAGGCTGCTTAGGCACAAATGAATATAAAAAACCCAATTAACAATTCCAAGCCATCATCCATTACACCACCCACACATCCAAGCTTAAAGGACCTAGATGTAGATATTGACTTGGTTTGACATTGCTTAATTTCAGTGATTGTATGTGAACAGGTGTGCAGGTGTCGATTTTCTGGAGAAATAATAAAAGCTGAAAACAAAATGATTTGCTGCATAAAAGGATGGGGGCATTTTTATTATTATTGTGGAGGGAGGTATCAATACTGGTTAATTGGTAATCCTTCCTAAATCCAGGTTAGGTTTCAAATTTTTTACTGCACATTATGATAAATTTTGGCCAATTTGTCATTTTTTGGGAAGTGAATAATTTCAATAAGTATAACCTTAGTTCGTTTTGAATTCTCGTATGCTTGTATTTTGATTGGTCATTCCAGCTTATGTAACAGTGTTTACCCTCGTGAGGGGTGGCTAATTGATTTAAACCTTTTAAAACCCTTTATTTTACATTTAACATCATCACTTGATAAAACACCAGAGGTGTTGAAACAAAATGGCTATTTTTGTAGTGATTTTATAACATATTTATGGAATAAATTCCAATAACCAGAGTAGAGTGAATATAATTATTTATTCAAAAATTATAACATAAATGTTATAAAATCACTACAAAAATAGCCATTTTGTTTCAACACCTCTGCTGTCTTAAATAATTATATTCGCTATACTCTGTATTGAGCACTCTTTTAAGAATAGTAATTGTTGGTTATTAGAATTTATTCTGTATAAACCAATCCTATACATACATATACACACACATATATATATATATATATAGAAAAGTCTCTCTCTCTATATATATATATATATATATATATATATATATATATATATATATATATATATATATATATGAGAGAGACTTTTCTTTTTCCACCAATCATTAATTCCATATCATTTTATTTCTAAATACCTTGAAAAGCATATTTGGGAAGTCACCACAAATTTTTTTATGAATGCTTGCAAGCGATGCGTGTGTGTGCGGTTTTTCTTGTCTCCTCAGCTGATGAGAAACAAGCTTAAGTAAGCAACCAAAACAGAAATCTTTGCTAAAAATAAAATAAGAGACAAACAAGAATGCAGACATACCAAAATACATGCCTCTCTAAGAAATTCTTCCAGGCCCAAGGGAGAGAACTGCTCAGAATCTCTCTCGTGGAATCATCAACAGTGAAAAAAGAGAGAGGGGGGGGGGGAAAAGAAAAGTTGTACTGCAAAGAATTAAATCACCATTCATTCATTCACTTTCAAAGCAAGCCCTCTACCCTTCTGCAAGTTCAATGACGAATTTACCAAAAGGAGAAAAAGAGGGGTGACATTTGAGTATGAGAAAATTTTCTATTATATCAAATACTTGCTGTTATCGAAGTTGGAAAATTTGAATCAACCAAGATGAAAGAAACTGTGTCAATTGAGGGATTTTTTTTCCTTTATCATATATAAATGGTAAATGAAAACACTGATCCTAACGGTGGCGTTTTTAACAGAAGCAGGTGACCAGAAAATTTTTTTTTGAAATGATAGAAGCAACAATATGATGGGAGTAGGTAAAAGAGGGATGGGGAGTGTTTAACTTTTGAAAATGCACCCCTGAAGAAGGGCAAGACAACTGGCAAAACAGATCACTTTCCAGATAGATGCTTGCAAATTCAGCTGTTTATTCAATGGCTCAGGTATAATAAAAGACAGATTTTGACATTAAGTAACCCAGCGGAGGGGTGGGAGAGTTTTAATATATTGTAAAATTCACTAGTCTATCCTTTAAAGTATGAATAGAATAATTGTTGTTGATGTTAGCTAAAAGTTAAAAAAAAAAAAAAAAAAAAAAAAATATGTCAGAGATTTTATTTTATGCAATATCACACACACACACACTGATTAGTTACTTATGGCCTGATTATTACCAACCAAGGAGTAATAGTCAACCAGATGAAATCTTGAACCATTATTTCTTCACAGGCATTAATTTTCAGTTGGGAGGCTGTCATTTTGACAACAAAGTTATTTCTTAATCTGCAACATATGTTTTTTACAGTCACATTACACATAGGAAATAAAAATCCCCTGCAAATCAATTTAGAATACATGGATATATTACTAGCTTGCTTGGGCACCTTGAGGCGGTGTAATGGTTAGAAAGCTTGTCTCGCTAGAACAATTACAACTGAGTAGTGAGTTCAATCCTCACTGGGTGTTCCATACCTTTGGCCTTGTGCCACATCTAAACTATGCTTAGAAAATCATTACTAGCTTGCTTGCTTGCTCATATGACCTGAGTTTCCCCACACTTACAGCCTTGTGCATGTGAACAATCTTTCCAAATTTAATAAATATAAAATTATATATATATATATATATATATATATATATATATATATATATATATGCGTAGTATGTAGTGGAAAGTGCTCAATATCTGTGATAGAGCTAATATATGCTACAATCTTGACACCGAAATTTGTGTACATACATGTGCTTAAATGCATGAATGTGTAACTATACCTAACTCAAGATTATGAATATGGGTGTGTATGTACAAACTAACATACATATGCCTGTACGTATGTGTGTATGTATATATGAGTGTTATTCCAAATAAATACAGAAGAAATTTTCCCCCCTCCACCATACACAAATAATCAAA